TTTGATTAATTTGATTAGAAGTTGAGTAGAAATATCACATTTAATCAAATATAATAAATTTAAAAAAAAAAATTCCCAAAATGTCGGAAAAAAGACAAAAAATCTTGCCCTAGGCCTAGTGAAGGTCTCTCACACTCACACAACTTTATCCAACAAAGTCACCGGGAAGAGCACCAGCACTCGTGCAGATATCCACCATGATTGCTTGCTTAGTTGTTAAGGTTCTCGCTCGCGGCCCGAGACGTTGAATGTGTAAGGGGGTGTTCTACTCTGGATGTGCCTCTTTTTCTTTTGTCAAAAGTATGCCTTTTTGTTGCTCGATAGAATGCCCCAACCGCCCCTTTTCCTGTCCTTTATTAATTAGGGCTCAAAAATCATTTAAATTTTAATTTATATCTTTAAAATTTAAAAATATTAATTTGTATTGGGAGTTAACTGTCATCTATTTTACCGGTAAAAAAGTTTAGAATAATTATAAATTGTATCTTTAAAGTTTACATGCTTCACATTTATGATTAAAAAAAAATTCAATCCATTAATACTCGTTAAATATCTCTCAATTGTATCGTATCATGTTATTTTGTATTGTATTATTTTCGTGTTGTGTTTGAGTTGATAAAAAAATAATTTTAACACAAAATATTTTCGTGTCAAGTCAATTGTGTTTGTGTCGTATATTTCACATTAACGAAAATTTATATATTACTATTTAATATTTTTTAAAAATTATAAAAATATCTATTTTTTGTCTACAATACTTATTAAATAGTTATTTCATATCTACAGTTATATTATTCATATCTAACTTTAATTTGATTGAACAGTCAAAAGATTCGTGTCTAAACTGTACACATAAATAACTATTTAACAAGTATTGTAAGCAAAAATATATTTTATAATTTTTTAAAAATTTTAAAAATATTTTTTTATTGATTCGAACATGACATGATACAATTGAGAACTATTTAACTAGCATTAATGGAAGAAATTTTTTTTGGATCATAAATATAAAATTTTTAAACTTGTACAAATTGAGATTCAAGTGATCTTTTGGAGTGCAATTTGAGATTAGTCCTATTAATTAAGGGTAATATTAGATGAGTTTGTAGCTAATTTAGGAAACTCTAACATAAAGACTGCAATCCTCCTTGCCATTTCTTGTATGAGATTATTGGGTTTTCATTTGAATTTTAAAGAATTTATATTATTACTTGATTCATGGACTAAGCTTGTTTAATAAAAAAATTGACGTTAAACATGATTATACACAATTTATATGCTTATAAATTCATGTATCAAATATAATTAAGTTATAGAGTAAATTCTAAAACGATAATATTTAGACATAACGCGTAAACGAATAACGCGTAAACGAATACGCGACGATACACTATCGTCTCTATTGGTACAAGAATTGTGTGCAAACAACTTCATACCAGTTACCTCCCCCGAGGATGCGCATTTAACCTTCATCATATATTTTTCTCTCGACAAAAGCATATGAATTATAGACTATCATGCATGACGTTGTTTAGGCTTGTTAGATAGAACACATAAAAGCCAGAAAAAAGATCTTAAGCCCGTACGAAGTTTATAGGAAAAAGATAGAGGGCGATTAAGACATCAATCAATTAGAGAGTTGCTACTGGCAGTCACTAAGTATGTTGGTTGGTCTTTCGGCCTGTAATCCTCTGCCCCACAACCCCAAAAAAAAAAAATCCTCTGCCCCACAAGTCAGGGTCGGACCCCTTAAACACCTATGCTCTATAGCCCTCTTTTATGTGTCCATAGTGAGCCTGGAGCTGGCTATACAAGTTATTTTATAGACTTCAGAATAAAATAAGATATGCCTGTTTGTACCTTAATTTTTGGAGCAGTATATATATATTAGTTTTTTGGACTTAAAAAAATTTATTTAGGCTAATTTTATGAATTATTTTTTCTAACTTTTTAGAAATTTATCGCGGATCTCATATAATTTTTTAGTTTATTATATTCATAAAATATGATTAATGACTTAAAAAAAATTAAAATTCATATTTTACAAATTATTATGCATAATCTATACATATATGTAATTATTTTTTTTATTTTGACATAAAAAATCAAAAAAATTAGAAAATCACCCAAAAACAAATTTTTTTCAACTTTTTAAAGAACATCCCAAATAGTTTTAGGGGGGTTTAACTCTAATTATTTTTTACGAAATTTTTTAAATTATTATTTTAAGCAATGCTACATGAACTTAAAAAATAGACTTAATAATCTCAACTATTGATTTTACTGTGGGTTCCAGCATAAATTATTATTTTTTACCTAAAAAAATTAACTCCAAATATAGGGAAAAGGTATCCACAGTAAACATCTGGAAGGATCTTCATTACAATAATTACGTTTGAATAATACAAATTAACACCAAACATTACAGTTTTGGCTCTATTGACTAATGCCCTCTCTTTATAATAAAGAGTATATTATTTGATTATGCTCTGAACTTTATTGAATGACACGACTCCTCCTCCTTTACGAATTGGCATGGAACTTTATCCACCTTCGCTTTTCTTGGCCTACAACCATAGAAGTTGACTTGGGTCATTTATTTATTCTATATTGACTTGGTTTGACTTGACGTTTTGGAAAAGCCCATTTTCACCGTGCTCACGGCCCAACTGGCCTATTGGCAATAGTGAGAGTTCTTTCGTTTTCTGGTCAAAGTCTTGGTTGGATGTGGAATCTACTCTACAAGGAGTGGTGCAGATGTAGATCATATCATTATAACCTCTCTTTTCGTACCATTACAGATCCTTAACGCCACTTCGTCAACTAGTATTACCTGTGCTTTCGTTTCTCTTAGTGTGGTCAACATTGGGTGATTTCGAGCTTATGGGCATTTGGTGGGTTATTCATCGGCTCGACCCTAATGGGTGTGTCTTTTTTATTTTTTTGAATTTTATCAGCCTGTCTGACAAGTAACTCGGGCTTACAAGTGGAGCGAACAAGAAAACATGTCATGGGCTTATATTGTGGGCCAAGACAATCCTCAGCTCATTGGCCACCTGGCTTTGGAACCAACCTATGGGCCACAACCCAAATGTCAAGGTTTACAGTTCTATATTCTCGCACATTATGCAATGTTGATGGGTCATGTTTGTGAGGTGAGGAAGTGGTCTAGTGATAAAAATTCATTTCTACTCATTGTGAGTTCAACCTCATCCTCTTTCCTAAAAACCCATTAGGCCAGGGCCATAGCACAGAAATTTGAGCCTTCCAGGACTTTCTAGACCAGTCGGGAACAGGCAAGCCCATTAGTCTGAGTAAGGGCGGACGTAAATCCTCCGTGGCACCGCGTGGGCAGGGGGGACAGGAAGTTTCGTACCGTTTGGTTTTGGCTTCGTCCCCAAGCCACAACAACAACCCATTTATAAACCAAAGACCGGTGGCTCAAGAAATCATTCTTCTTCTTGAAATCTTTTATTTGCACCTACAGATCCGCCTTTAGATCAAAACCCAGAGGAAAGGAAGAAACAGAAACCAATCCTAGACAGAGAGGAGAGAGAAATGGAAGGAGGAGGAGGAACAGAAGCTTTTCCAGATTTAGGAATGCACTGCCAACACCCGGAATGCAATCAACTCGATTTTCTCCCATTTAATTGCGATGCTTGTCGCAGGGTAAATTTCAAATTGAGTTTCTCTTTCTCAAATTTGAATTTGAACTTTATTTTTTTTTTTATAGATGAAACTCTAGGAAATTGAAATAATGTGGTTTTCATACAATATCTGTAGGTTTTCTGTGTGGAGCACCGATCATACAAGTCTCATGAATGCCCCAAATCGGACTACAATAGCCGGAAGGTATTGGTCTGTGAAATTTGTTCCATGTCAATCGAAACCACCGGTCACGACAGAGAAGATGAAAAGTTGATGCTGGAGAAACACGAGAATTCCGGAGATTGTGACCCGAAGAAGAAGAAGAAACCGACGTGCCCAGTCCGGCGGTGCAGAGAGATATTGACGTTCTCGAACACTTGCACTTGCAAGGTTTGCCAGATTAAGGTTTGCCTGAAACATAGATTTCCAGCGGACCATCCCTGCGGCAAGAACATATCATCATCGTCGGTGGTCAAGATCAGCCGTGAGCAAGCCAACAATAGGTTTTTGGTTGCTTTGGCGTCAAGGAATGGGAACGATTGTGGAAAGAAGGGTCGTGGTGGTTCGGCGTCTTCTCCACCCAGTACTCCTACTGTTAGAGCTTATTAAGATTGAGGCAACGTTGGGAACTAGGTTTATTTGAATTACAGATTGTCTAAAATCATGAATGAATTGTTAATGGATCCTAATATTTATTAGGCCTATCATCGATTAAGCTTATAAACTAAGTCCAAATGCAAATAAAATAGAAAATAATTCAACATTTGACTTGAATTCGAACCTTGTTAATTGGATGAACTTTACTGGTCGGGTAATTCAGATTTAACTCGTGCATGACTGATAAAGAATTTGATTATTCATCCGAGGCTAAAGACGATAAAGTAGAAAAACTAGGATTATTATGACCCTTAACTATAATTTGGACCAATTAGCTAAAACAAGAAAAATGATTTTCATTTGTTTAATGAACATCAACAAGTGAATATATACACATTTTTAACATATTTTATCCAACATAACATTATATTGCAATGGTAATAGCCAAGTCCAAACACCACTTCCAAAATGAAGCAACATTTTAGATCTTTAATTAATAAAGCTATATACATAACCACTAAAAGATCTTCTTTTATAAAATAAACGTAGTCCACTTCATCTCTATATAAATTCTACGGTTACTGATATTCAGTGCCCAAACAACTGCAAATATGCGAAACAATAAACACAGCCAACTTTCCAGACTTTTTAGATTTAAAAAGGGATGCATTCTGGCCTGTACAACTACATTCTGGATTTGCAGCCACAATTACATAAAACTCTACAATGCGTTCGCCTCATGCAGCATGTAGTTATCATGGTTTCCGTTTAGACAAGGACAAGATGGCGAGGAGAATCTTCTTCCTTGGTCCCTGCAAATCAAGAAGCCATTGTAAGAGAGTATTTAATTTTAGAAATCAGAAAACCCAAACTAATAGAGATATGTCACTTCAAGTATGTAAGTTAGCAAAGAGTGGTTTCATCTATTGGCTACCATGTAGGTTACATAAATAGAACTACGCATCTGATACGAAACTACAGGCATAGAGTGATAATGGGAGTAAAACCAAGCGTGGCACTGTACGTGGATAAAATTTCCCCCCAGCAGAAGCAGGTGTATAAACGTACATGGAAAACTCAGCATGTGTGCCAAGACCTATAAACTGTCCAGCAGATATACAAGTATGATTTTAAAAAAAAAAAACTCAGAGCTGTCCATAGCAGCGTCAAGGTTTTAGCATTGCCAAGGTATTCAGACGGCTGTGTTTTTGTGTCAATAGAGCTAAAAGTTTCAATTAACAATGTTAATCATCGGTTGGAGCAAGAGTATCACTGATAGCATAAACTATTCTAAGAATCCCATTAGATATCAAGAAAAATGGTTTGGTCCAGTCGTCACTGGTGGTTTCATTCGAATGTTAATCACACACGCTGACCTATGTTTTTGGAGGGGCCGTCCCCCTAGATGAGGATTAGCATTTGAAGTACAATAGCAACCCCACATGATAAGAGGAATCTCTGCAATCTGGCATTACGACACTCTCTTCTATCTAGTTATCCCTTACTTTCTCAATTAATCGTGATTCTTATTTCCTAAACAAACAAAATCAAAGCATTTTAATTGGTCAAATAAGAAGCACCTAACTATCTAAACAAGTAAAATATATCATGGAAGTGATAAAATTTATATTGTATACCAAGCAATACAAAAAGCTATAATGACATCAGAAGTTATAGAACTGTAGATAAGGCAAAAACCAGTATACCATTGGTAACCCCAACTCTTTCAGGTCACGATCCCCCATTTGATTCAGTGCGGCCATGTCCACCTACAACATAAAAGAGTACATGTCCCAATTAAATTATGTGAATCTTAGAATGATAATTTTGGCTTTGAACACATCATTACCAGAAAACCCATTTTTTTGCAAGTATTAGTATTACCATTAAACCCAAGGGAACCCCCTCAGAAAAACTAAAACCCTCAAAACAGATAGAATCTATACACATTCTTCTTTTGTTCTCCTTTTTGGTTTCCTTTGCTGCACATTTTGTTTGTTAGGATTTTCCATTAATCCATAGCTATAATTCCTAAGGAAAATTATAATGACCAAAAACTACAAATATTTGAAGACCACTGCCATTACAATAATGCAGGCACGGGATTAAGCAGTAGATTGAGACACCTATCACTGAAGACAGTGTAAGTAAGATATGTTGCGTTACAGAGGCAAGTCCATGGTGGATTGAGGATTTATTCCCCCTCCCCCAAAATTAACCATGCCGTCGCACATGCTTTTAGAAAACATTCTTTTTGTGCACCTAATATATTTCACATTTAGGCCCTCAAAGAACATCTTCCAAGCCCAAAGAGGTTCCTTAAGCAATCAGATTGGCCAGAAATACCAAACTCAAGGTCCTTCAGTTTAGCCAACTTAATGTATTTCTATATATATCCTAAAGCCAATAGTCAGTACCTGCAATCAGGGTTACAGACTCACAATGGACCAATGTTCTACATGGCAATTGATAGTGTTTTATTGGGCAAAAAACAATTATCAGCATAGCATCTGATTCTCCCGCATTAAAATTTATCGGAAAAGGGATGCACCCAGATTGTAGAGCATCTTTCTTGTTCCCCACCCTCCTGCATTTCTAACATCACTCACCCATCCTCTTTCTTATCAAAAGTTTGATAAAAGTTGGTTACTTACCTCCTCAGCTTGAAAATGAATGGCGTATTTCCCCAAACCAAGTGAGTGCAATAAGCTACTAACCGTGGGAGGTTGTTCACCCTATGAATTGCAAAAAAGAAATATCATCACTAGAACATGTATATGGAATTATGGATGCATAAAGATGTTACTTTAAAACATAACTACAGATCTGTAAAAAAAAGGATAAAAATACAGCTGAGTAACACACCTCTAGCAAATGCAACTGTAATTAGATATTTGAATTAGACTATCCAACCAAAAGAGGCAAGAGCAGAGTAGGTCAACTAAGGAACTATGTAAGAATTGACTCAACAAACATGTAAAACAGGTAATCTTTGGATTATCAGGCTTAGATGTTACAAAAGATGCTTTCAAGAAAACACTTGGGGGATCAAGTTGCAACATGTTGCCAATTTCAGCATTAGACCAGAGGAATACTTAAAGAGAACACAAATCTCACAAGCCAAAACAAAATTAGTTGAACTCTTCATTAAAAATGCTCGATACATATCAAAGACTCCCACTCCATTTGCGAAGAAGTGATGACCACCAGAATGCTAGATAGTTATTTCATCCATAACATAACAAGACTGAAATAACTAGCATAAGTCCACGACATACAAAACAACATAATTTTATCATCTGCAATTCAGATTCTACAATTTTGCTCTCTTTAGCACACCGTAATGTCAAATCTACATACGAAAATAAAACCCTTTATTCTATAACTTTCTGTTCAGATGTTTAAGGCACGATGATATCATACTATGCCTTAATTTAAGTGAAAGATAATCATTACAGGTAACTCAACAATGTGTCTTCAGCAAACCATTTCTCTTCATCATTAATTTGAACATCCCTGTGGCTTGCTTCAAGGAGCAACCTTGAAGCTAAATTATGCCTCAAATTGTGAGGTTGAAATTGAGCTCAACTTTATAAATTCTAATGTCCTCTGGACTATTGAAACCTACATACTTATTTGTTTTTTCTTTCTATGCCTCCCTATCTACATGGAAGTCGAGAGTATCTGATCTAGCCTTATAGTGAAATAAGCCAACAAATGTTATTGCAAGAATATCTTAAATAGCAGAAAGTGGGCCTGTACATGGTATGAGCTTCTCGGCACACTGAGACCTGCTGGTGGAAGTTTGGAAGCTGGCTTGCCAGCATCAAGAGTGGCTCTCATGGTCACAGGTGCAGGATCCTTTGGCCTAGAAGGTTGCAAGAGATCACTGCACATTAGTTGTCCAGTTCTTGAATCATCAATTGGCCTGCCTGATGACATTCGGTGCACTTGATTGACATTTCTTGGTGGTGACATCTCTATATTAGCTTTCTGAAATCTATCTGAGGATTTAGAAGTTAGTCCATCCGAGGTCTGAGAAGCATAAGATCTTCTTAATGAGTCCATGGGTAGGAAATCATCATTCCCTCTTGTAGGGGGTAGGTTCCTCAAAAGACCCCTTTCTGGCCCTACCGTAGATTGGATAGGTCTTGACATCTTTTCACGTAGCTCAATCCTTGTACGTTCTTCAATCTCACGCTGTATTCTCCTAGATGTTCGTTTGCGCATGAGTTTCAACCGGAGGTCATTTCGGCCAATCTGTGCATCTTCAAAAACCCAATTCCGTACAAGTAAAGCAATTAAAAACTGATCAAGAAAAGAGAAAGTAAGTTTTGTCAAATGTTACTACTTTAGTCATTACCGTTTAATCCTCTGCCACCTGCACTCCTTGTAATTCTATCCCCTCGAAGCCTGACAGAGTGGGATTCAATTCATCAGCATCAACTCAAAAATCATCATCATGACTGCTAAACCCTCAAAATTTCATAACAAAAACCATCTGGTCCTAATTCTGAAAAGGAGGCAGGGGTATGAAAAAAGGAAATAGATTTTCTCAGAGGAAAAGGAACCAGACTTTCTCAGACAAATTAACAAAATATTTAGCACCCCTAGAACAGGTTGATAAATTGACAAAATATTTGATGCTTTCACTCAAATTTTGAAAAATTCAGCATGAAATATATCTAGCAAATAATAATACAATACTTTTAAACCCTCCATTTAGATGTCGAGAAGAACTAAAGAATTAGAGAAAAATTCTTAGCTACTGCTTAAAATTGGAAATCCTAGTTCCCCCATCATGCATTCCAAATACCAAATCAAGCCTAAGCTAAATAAACTCTGGCAATCAATATAGAAAGGAATAACAACAAAAAGCAAACTACAGACCGCGTTTTAGCAAACGAAGAAGAATTATCAGCATTGCTCTCAAATATCTCTCTCGCAGATCTTTTCCTTCCCGATAGCGGCTGAGACTCGGCACGAGAACCAGCAGATTTGACCGATGCCCCCTTTACCACCCTCTAAACATCGAAAATAGAAAAAAAAACCACATTCAGCCTTAACAATTAACAAATAAATTCAGTTTAATACAGAGTATAGTATCAATTACTTCCAAAAAAAAAGCACAATATATAGACAAAAACAATAAACTAATCAAACCCCGACATGAAGCTCATAAAAAAAAAAAACAACCCTAACCCTAACCCTAACCCTTGCTGATAATCAGAAATACAAGTTTTTCAGAGAGAAATTGATCGGAAAAATGAGGAATGATGTACTTGACCAGAGCGCCCAAGGGTGATGGTGATCCGGGGTTTCGACATATCTCTGTCTCTCGCAAACCCAAAAATGGTACGAGTTTCACTAGCTGCCTGATAAGCTTTGAAGGCGTGTGTGTCACTGAATGCTAAGTATATAAACAGATTTTCTTGTGTATCAGACGATTCGTGGTGGATCAAAAGCAGGACGAGGGAGGGTTCATCATTTCTGGCAGTAAAAAGATAGGGGACTGGACTGGAAACAATGGTGGCAGTTTCATAGAAGCCAAGAATGAGGGAGGAGTCAATAGTAGGATTAATTACATATCGACCCCTTGGTGTTTGTCACAATATATCTCCAAAACCCCAAAGGTACGAAAAAATAATTGCATTGTCATGATGTTTAATTTTTCGTAATAGGATTCACCTGTCAACCGCAAATTTTGATGATGTGATCATATTTTTTGACGGCTTATTTTAACGTGGTATAATTTTATGACGAGTAAATGAAAGAAATAATCTTGAAATTATTGAGATTTAAGCTACTAGGCTTGAAGGAGTGATATTGAGAATTATTGGGGAGTCAAAGAATTAACACAATAAAAATATAGTGGTTCACCGGTTCAAGAGCTCGGTTAATTCACTCTTCAATGGAGATTCTTGCTCCTTCTTTCACTATTTACTATATCAAAAAAGGTTACAAAATGTACGATGTGATACCAGGGTTCTTGCCACTCTGTTGAGAGCGTTACATAGTATTTATAGGGGTATCTCTTAATCTATGGGATCCGATCTGTGATCCTTGTCATCTATCCAATGAATTCTCCTTAGTCTTAAGAGCGTATCTTGGTTGGTTGAGAATTTTTGTGTCTTGAGTGTTATTTCAAACTGTCTTTCGAGTTCTTTGTAGTATTCAGTTGTCTCCTCCCTGCTTCAGCTTATTATCTCGTTTTAAGTGGAGCTCTAGCTCTGATTTTTTAAGCTCTGCATAGCTCTGACCTTCTGAGCTCAACTTACTTGATCTCTGTTCCCGAGCTCCAGCTCGAGAATCATTCTAAGTATCATCATTTTTAATAAGAATTCTAAGGTATCCATGTAATCATATCTTAGATGAGGGGAAACATGATAACTGTTTGGTGTTCAAATTTTTGATTGGTCGTAATTTTTTATCATATTGAACAGTTAGTTACAAAAATTAGGTAGAAATACAGAAAAGTTTTTGATTTTTTGATTAAATCGGATAAAAATGTAAAATATCCATCAATTTTCGCATTTCTATCCTACCCTACCATACCTGCATTAATATATATACATAGACTAAAAAAATCCAAATTACTAACCAACATTATTGTCTACTGACTAAGTGAGCGCCTCACTCCATTTCTCTCCTCCCCTTTTACATTTATCAGCTTTCATCGCTCAAGCCTCTACCTCCATAACTCAGGCCTTCATTGTTCAGTCCCGATCTCTCCATGTACTCTCTCTCTCTCTCTCTCTCTCTCTCTCTCTCTCTCTTTATCTCTCTGTCTTTGTTTGGGCGCAATTTGGTGGCTTTCATCGTTCAGACCTTCATCTACAAATTTGATATTTTTTTTTTTAAACATCAAGTTAATGAATCTTAAAACCCTAACTTTCAAGTATCGTTCTTGCCTTTTCTGTTTTTTTTTTAAGCTTTCAAAATTGTGTTTACCCTAGTTACAAAATTGTTTATCCGATTAATCGGGTAGAAAATTGGGTAGAAATACCACACCTAATCGGGTAGGGTAGGTCAAAAAAAATTTCTTCCATAAAGTATCGGATAAAAAAACGAAAGACTATATTTTCTACCCGTAGAGTATTGTGAACACTCTTAATGCATAGCAAAGCAAAAGTGCGAAAAAGACAAAATTTAAAACAAATTGAGGGTGAAAACATTTTGAGAGCAAGAAAATATATGCATGTCAACACATTCATTTATAAAAATTAATAAAGATAAAATATAAAAAGTTCAATTTCATGCACAATTGTATGACAAACTATTTAATTTTTAAATATATGTTGATTATAATGTTCTAAAATGATAATTATAGTTTACAAATATAATTATAGTTTTATATGTATCTTTAAATATGGGTCAATACTTTTCAAATTAAAAGTTGGATAATAATGAGTAAGCATATAAATAAATAATAGGACAAATTAGTCAAATTTACAAATTAAAAAATTAATTTTATAAATGTTATAAAATATAAATATAAATTTGTAGAGAATTCGCTCCCAAAACATGAATTCACACTTAGACCGTCGGATGTTTACTCGAATTATGTGATTAAGACCATACCGTGATTTTTGCATCAAAACCCATGTAATTTGTTTTCATAGATGCCCCATTGAAAACCCCCAGAGAGAGAGAGAGAGAGAGTCTAATTATGTTTTAAAGGCAGAGATAGTTTAATTGTGTTTTAAAAGTTTGCTTGACAATGAATTTACAATGTGTGACGTCTCGGGACAAGTTGGTCTTTGTCATTGAAGATATTTAGTCACATTTGAGATTAAATTGCATTTTCACGCCTTGGGGGCTTCGTGATGCAACCGAAGAGGATCTAGACATAAAAAAAAAATATTATATAATTCAAATAAAATTTAAAAATTATAATTAAAAATGCATATCATTATTTGGATTAGTGAATTTCACTAAAAAAATTAATAGATCTCACTCGTCTAAAAAATTATATGTATTTGAATTATAATTTTTTAAATTTCATTTGACTTTTGTAACATTTCTCCCAATAAATATAAGTAACCCATAGTTTTATGTACTTGCACATTTTTAAGGATCTTTGTCATTAGCTACCCTCTCCCTCGTACGGACCCAAAAACAACAGCATTTTTTGTTGATCAGACGATTCAAACAAGGTAAGATGGCTTCAGCATTTGGGGTACATTCAGGGCCGGCCCTAGGCTTAGGCCAATTAGTTGGCCGCCAAATTCCCAATTTTTGTAAAATTTTGGGGTTCTTGTTAAGAGTTTTAGTTATGGGTACATATATTTTGGATCGATTGTTTTGAAAGGGTCCAAATTTTATTGAAAAGTCCATTAATACTTAACAATTGCTCCACTTGCCAGTTATAATAGACTGCTAGACTTTTAAAACAAGGAAGGTAGACGACTAGATGTCTCTCTCTCTCTCTTTCTGTCACATTTGTGAAAAAATTAAGCAAATCTCCCTACATCACTCCGCCTCTCTCGTACAAATTTATCAACTGTTATCATTATAGGATTCACTCACAAACCACAGTGTCGGTTTAACATCACTCTCTCATGCCCCTTTCTTTCTCTCTCTCTCTCTCTCTGTGAAATATAAAATTTGAATCTAAACAAAGAAAGAACATCAAAACTCTCTATTCTCTAATCTATTCTAGTTCAAAAACCCAACAATTAATTGATAGTGATCAAGATTCAAAGATCAGAATTTGTTGGGCTCAATCTATTATAATAAAACTAGTTTATTCAATTGCTCTCTCATTTTTTATTAGAATTTTATAGAAGTTTTAGAAGTTTGGTGTGCTTAGAATTTTTAATATGTTAATTTCATATTTTTGATATTATTGTTGATTTAAAATGTCTCTTTTTTTGACAGAAATTTAAATGCTTGAATCTTGATAGTTGATTGCTAAAACCCTAACTTATATAAAACGATTATATTCTTTTCAAAATGCATATATAATTTTTAAAATATTGTTAACAATATCGGTAAAAATTGTTTTAGTGGAGAGAAGTTTTTCAAAACTTAGATTAATAAAATCTTATCTCTGATCAACTATGTCACAAGAAATATTAAATTGACTAACTATATTATTTATTGAAAAATATCTATTAACAAAACTTGAATATAAAAATTTAATCAATATGTTTGCATCTCAAAAAGTTAGAAAAATAGTTTTTAAATAAATATATTTTAATAATTGTTGCCTATTAATATGACCGAGCTTCATATTCTAGCCTAAGGTCTCCGGATTTGTTGGGCAGCCCCTGGGTACATTCAGTTTTAGTCTCCCGAAATCGTTTTTACAAAAGCATGAGAGACATTACAAACTATCGGTCGGACTGCTGGAGAGTGAATCCATAAGGAATGCTGTCCCTCCCTGCTACCCATTTCCCTCAAGTACAAATGTTGAGAAGGAACCACGACAACAAAGTGACGACAATATGGAGCAAGGGACAATAAGCAGCAATCCAAATCCCAGTTATATGCAGCCAAAAAACCAAGCAAGCCAAAGACAACGTAATCAAAGGAAGAAAAAAGGGAAAAAAGATTATTGCAACATAAGTAGATTGACCTCTGGATTAGAATACAAGTTTACATACAATCTAGGACTACTCAAGAAGGTGACTATGATATGGTGGAGCATTACATATTTGCAGTTGTTTCCTTGATTTCTTCCAAAGAAATGGCCTGCATAGCAAAAGCCGCATATAAGGAAGCAGTAATGAACCTCCCCAAATAACATGCCCAACCACTATGCATTAGTAAATGAACATAAGTTCACATGGTCTCTCTCTCTCTCTCTCTCTCTCTCTCTGGGGTGTGCGCACATACACTCACTCTAAAAAGAATCTATCAAGAATCAGGCACCCTAAACCACTTCCTTCCAAATATCTCTTCCATTGCTGTGAGATCTTTAAATGGAGGAATATGCGATTTAAGTAGCAACACCTCTCAGTTAAAAGTAATAAGCAGGTGTACATGCAAAATCAAAGCATTGGTATTATCTGCTTTACATATTTTATGTTATAGGTAGGACCAAAGTTCATACTATATTCAGTGAAATCAAAGCTAGGAAGATATAACGTTTACCTGTTCTTTGCCGGCAAAATCATTATCAGGTGTGAGAAAAAGCATGCAGTGGCACTCCTTCCTACAAAGGCAATTGTAGGATTAGAACATGCAAGACAAGTTAAAAGAATTATCAATGATCTGTTGCTTAAGTATCCTAGGTTTGCTACACTCGACGAATTCCCTCTCTTTTATGCACTGTGTTTAGTAATAATCAATTCCATGTCTGCTCCAACTATATTAGAGCCCAGAGCAAGAAGTCATTGAGTTTATTTTAAATGAACAACACACCAATTGAAGAATAAAAAATGCTTGGTGATTGGTGAATAACTCATGATATCCATCTACCATCCTCAGAAAGATAAGATGAACATTCATCATGCCAATCATGCAGAGCAATGGAACGAAATCAGAAATTTTTATACATTTTACCTCTCTCTCATGGGAACACATGGACAGTTCCAAAAGCCCTGTTGTGCTTCAGCAGCTTTGTCATCATAATGCCTGAAACAAAAATGGCCCCAACAAAGAGCATAAGTTGTAAAAGGAGATGTACTATAAAGCTATTTGATATTAGCATGGAATTTCGATCGAAGGCAAGAATTACACCGTAGTTAATGGTCAAAAAACTAAACATTTACCTGCAAGGGCAAAGTGGAGCACCCAATGTATCTTTGTGGTCTGCTAATCCCTAAGTACATTCCGAAAGAGTTCCTTTAGTATAAGTAATTTATAAATTTTACGTGCAAGGAGAAGATATACAGTGAATTCAAAGAGAGAACTCAGAAGAAAGCAAATAACAAATTCTAACAATAACACCATCAGTTTATGAGACAACTGCTCCAAGCATGAAAAAGAGAATTTCAGGTCCATATGTGCTATCAACTCAAGTCACTCCCACAGTCCCTCAAAAAAAGGATTCAAATATATATTTTCAAACGGAATTGCGCTAAATTAGAAGCATCACATCATTAAGACAAGCTTTTGAATTTCTATGTATAATGGACACCAATAGAATTTGATTCCATTCAAATTAGAGAAATATACAAGTCTTCAATCACTGACTACCCCTTAGTACATTCCGAAAGAGTTCCTTTAGTGTTAAGTAATTGATAAATTTTACATGCAAGGACAAGATAAACCATGAATTTCAAGAGAGAACTCAGAAGAAAGTAACAAATTAAAACATCAAATGTAATATTAACTCCATCAGTGTATCAGACAACTGCTTCAAGCATGATATATGAATTTCTCATCCATATGTGCTATCAACACAAGTCAATCCCACAGTCCCTAAAAAAAGGGATTCAAATATATATATTCAAAAGGAATTGTTATTAAGGAATATTGGACTGATTGGGCAAACTTCGAAGCATCATGTCATTAAGCCAAGCTTTTGATTTTGTACGTATAATGACACCTATTAATCTATTAAGGATCACACTGATACCATGGACATTAGAGATATGTATAAATCTCCAATCACCTACGGATCCTAGTATTACCTTCTGGAAAATCTAATTTCGATTCTAAAATTGGTTACCATAGATCTGGTAAATTCAAAGACAAGCCCAAAGCGATGCCCTGTATCATTTTTAAGTTCTTGTAATCGTGATCAAATCTATTACACTTAGGCAAATATGATTTCATAACTTACTCAACCAAGTATTGAACAATATGCAATAGGGTATGCATCTTCTGTTAGAGCAGTAGTAACCAGTGATATTTCTCAAAAGAAAATAAAAGGCAGCAATCTTGTGATTCTGAATCGGAGACATGGAGGATTTCCATGTACAATTATGTGTTCCAATATGTCGTACACAAATATATATCTTCCCATCATTACTTCCATAATTACAATAATATGGAATGGTAGCTTTCATTATCTCAAATATGTCAAAATTTAACTGTTGTAAGACTCGGGGTTTTTGGTGTAAACATAACACCATTCACATGTCAGTGAGAAGATTATAAATTGCAAAATTCCAACAAATTTGGTATAAAAACACAAATAGGACAGGATTATTTGTTCAAAATATAGTCAATCTGTCTAAAAACTCTAAAGCAAATGGAGGGAACAATTTTTCCAAAGTAATATATGAATTGCAACTTACCTAAAAAGCATATGAATTGCCACATTTCAACAATACACAAATAAACGGAATACCTTGATAACAACGGAAGTGACTCCTTTGTCCACACAGAAATACGTTCCCGACTTACGAGCATATTGCTCCGAGAACTTCCTCATAATCTCAACAGACTTGTCTGTTGGTTCCACTGTGAGAAAAACACAAAAATCAAATTCTTCAATAAATTAAACAACCGTACCACATTCTCAACTCCTCATTTCCCTGCTTTTTTTTTTTGGAGAATGAAATCACAAACAACTACTGAATCTTACAAACAGAAAACACGACAATGAAAATTATAAACTGAAAATCGTTAACTTAGGGATTTGAATGAACGAGTATCAAAATTATATATTACTTTGGGCAAGGGTGATACGGCGGTGACTGGAACGCCGGGGAGGGGAGGCGAAGGACACGCCAAAGCCAACACTGTAGGATGTGGACGCCTGAAGAGCTCGCATGGCCATTACTTGGATCTAAATTACGATTCTTGTTCTTGATTCACCTCTGCACCTCAAATCAGAATTTGTTGTGAACTCACACATTTATAGGAGTGTTTGTGTTTAACGAAATGGTTAAAAGGAAGAAACAATTCTAAAGAGCATGATTTAGGACCACTCGTTCAGATTATCAGAGAGATACGTATGGATGGTGGAAGAAAATTACAGAGCCACTGGATTCACTGGTCATGGCGGTGGTCCGGGTTGTACCCGGTTTACGTGATTTGGGCGAGCCCACCTAGTTATAATTTGGTCCAAAGTTTTATAGGCGCCCAAGCTAAAGCGTTCAAGGTCCGATGAATGGCCTAAAGGTGATAGTAGAACTAAAGGAACTTTTGAGGCAGATCCTCTTTATATGGATTTATTTAGATTTAAATCTGCTAAAAAAATTTACTTGTTATCAATTTTACTAGACTATCTATTCCACCATTCTCTTTAAAAGTAAAATAAAACTAAAATTGAAAAACTCCTAAATTTTAAGAGTGTGATTAACATTAAAAAATTTTCTCTTTCATATCTATCTATATTCGTGGAATTATTATAGCAATAGTCAATATAGCATTATTATAGCAGAATTAAAAGATAAATTACTGAAACAACATGAAGGTAATAGTGAAGCATATAGGTCAACAGAAAATTTTCTAAAGAACAAACATGATATTAAGCCTATTTAAATTTCATAATAAATATATGATTATGTTAAAAATATGAAAGAAATTGAGTTCCCAGAAATAAATAAAGAGGTAACACACATCTCCCAATCATGCGAAGGGGATGTAATGATAAAATTTTCTACTGGAAATAATTTTTCAAGTTTAAAATCTGAAGCTTCATCAGCATATTATACTCCTACTAGGAGGCTTACTTCTTCTATTCCAGACAGGAGAAGGGGAAAAGAATTTATGATTAAAGGAATTAAAATTTCACGTAATCAAATTCTACATTGAATTTATAGGCAAGATAATGAATTTTCCTTAGAAGAAGATAGAGATCCAACCCCATCCGAAATAGGATTTCAGCTATAAATTTCTATGAATTTAAGCCCAAAAGAATTTATAATTAATAGAAAACAAATTAATGAAGAATTTTATCTTCCTAAATATGAGAAATTAGAACTTGGTATTTTAAAACTCTTAACCAAAAAGACCTTAAAAGGTATAAAGAAATGTTTTACCATTATATAGAAAGGGAAAAAAAGATATTCTTTTTGTTACATGGTTTTTAACGTATTATACTCCACCCACTATGAATCAATTAAATGTAATTGAATAATTTCAACATAAATGAGAAATATTAGATGGCAAAAGTATAAATAGTTTATATCCTCCCACTGCGGAAGTTATAAAGCTAGCTTCCAATAATGTAGGTGAAGTCTTGGTTAAAAATACATCTTTATACCACCTAAAATGTGTTAAAGTGGGACATCTTAAATTCATTTAGAGTTCTTTACTCTTATCTGTATTTTATAAGCTTGTCCCTGCAAAGTGTTTTTATATTGTTTGTATTAAAGTATAAACAACATCTTCTTGAGTAAGTATACTCTCATCTTCAGCTGTTATTATTTTTACTGCATTTAAAATTTCATGTTTTTGAGTTTGAACTTAAATAGTTATCCCACTTGCATCTTAATTGTCCAGTAAATCTTGCAGTTATAAATTTAGCAGTAGCATGGTATGTGTTACGATTAGCTTTATAGACAAATGCATACATTAAAATTTTATGCAAAATTTGATGAATTAAATATTTTGACATGCCATCAATATTTCATTCATAAATAGAAGAGGCATCATATGATTGTTGATCAATAAAAAAGTTTTTCTCATATAAAATATCTTGAGGGGTTGATCTGTGATAATAAGCCTTCATAGGGAGTGCTTGTGAATATGTATTATTTTGTCTTTTAGATTTAGAATACCCAATTTTATTTATTTCTTCAGACTACATTTGGTGTAAAGAATTTTCAAATTGTTGGATTTCTTCAGTTTCAGATTGTTCTACACTCTCTTTCTGGGAAATTGTATTTAATGACAAATTTTTTAATTTGTTTTTGAGTTCATTTATGAACTCATCTCCAACTTTGTTATGCAGGTTAAATGTTGAAGTATCAACTGGAGGCTTAATGTTCACCTTTTCAATTTCAATCGGTTTATTTCTCAAAGATTGGAAAGACAAATTTTCTTATCTTTGATCCTTTATTAAATTTTTAATTTTACTCAAGTGTTGTCCTACCACTGGTAGACAAACATTAGTGTAATTTTTTTGTTTTATGAAAATATCTCTTCCTATATGATTAGTGTCCTTTAAAGAGTAGCAAGCATTTAAAATGACTTCACCTACCTCATTGGAAGCTAGCTTTATAGCTTCCGTAGTGGGAGGATAGAAACTAGTTATACTTTTGCCTTCCAATGTTTTTCATTTATGTTGAAATTTCTCAATTACATTTAATTGATTCATAGTGGGTGGAGCATAATAGGTTAAAAACCATGTAACAAAAGGAATTATCCTTTTTTTCCTTTCTATATAACGATAAAACATTTCTTTATACCTTTTAAGGTCTTCTTGGTTCATAGTTTTAAAATACTAAGTTCTAAATTCCTCATAATTTGGAAGATAAAATTCTTCATTTATTTGTTTTCTATTAATTATAAATTCTTTTGGGCTTAAATCGATAGAAATTTATAGTTAAAATCTGATTTCGGATGAGGTTGAATCTCTATCTTCCTCTAAGGAAGATTCATTATCTTGCCTATAAATTCCATGTGGAATTTGGTTATGTGAAGTTTTAATTCCTTCAATTATAGATTTTTTTCCCCTTCTCCTATCTGGGATAGAAGAAGCGAACCTCCTAGTAGGAGTATAATATATTGATGAAGCTCCGAATTTGAAATTTGAAAAATAATTTCTTGTAGAAAATGTTATCATTACACCCCCTTCAGATGATTGAGAGATGTGTTTTACCTATTTATTTAGTTTTGGTTTCTTAGGAACCACAAATTCCAATTGTCAGGTTTTTGAAAACTAGATCTCTAACCATTTAATGGTTTTAGGAATTTTAATTTTATTTTTAATAATATTTGTTTCAATTAAAGTTGTTTGGCCTTCATGATTATATAACCTAGCTTCTTGACATAAAGTATTGATCACTTTATAATATACCCTATAAGTAAAAGTCATTATCTCTGCTCCATCTTTAAAATTGTAACCATAAGTTTGAATATTACAAGTTAAAACATCTAATATATTTTTATCCATTAAAGATACTGATAAATTTAAAAAATAGTTAAAATAAAATGGACCAGTGCTTAAGTTAGATTGCATAATTGCCGTTAATGATTGAATAAAATCTAAACATCTAGCATCTCTTAATGCTAGCATAAAAGAGACATTTAATCCTTGAAGAGTTAATGTTTTAAAGCCACCTGGACTAATCAAATATGTAAAAATTTATAATTTTCTTAAGTCTTTAAAACTTTTCTTTCAGTTAATAGTTGTAAGATATCCCCATTCTGATCCAAGGGAATTGTCATTTCTAATGTTTTAATTGTTAAGTTTGATTTAAAGTTAAAAGTTCCAATATTATATATCATCTTAGTTGGATACTGGAGTATATCTCAGTTTTGTAATTTATTTTTAATATCTGAGAACTTAATTTCTTCCATATTTTTAACATAATCATCTTTATGTTTATTATGAAATTTAAATAGGCTTACTGCCATGTTTGCTCTTCAGAAAAGTTTCTGTTGATCTGTATGCTTCATTATTACTTTCATGTTTCTACAATAATTTGTCTTTTAATTCTGCTACAATAATGCTATATTGATTGTTGCTATAATAATTCCCCTATAGTAATTTTCTTCCAATTTCCTACTCTTATTGTCAACGATTTACAAGGAACACAAACGGCCTCACTCTTAAAGTTGTATACACATATGAAGTTGAATTTTATCCCCTACATATTTTTCCTCCTAAAAAATCACATCACCCAATTTTAATTAATGAAGATTTGCTTAATGATGTATGGAGATAAACCTTCAAGACAGCGGTAATGAGTTGTATAATTTAATCTACAGGAAATAATCGGATAAAGTCGAATCTTAAACAGTAACGCTTGCTAGGACGTCACCAACAAATTATAATAATAAGTGACGTAAACAGTGACGTCACAAACAGTAAAAATAACGTCAATGTAAATTATTAAAGTCGTGAATACTAAAAGGTTATAAATAGTTTAAGTTGTGTTAAAATTCGGATTTCATAATCGGTCTCTATTTAAAGAGGTGCAGGTATAGCCTGTTGGGCACCCTCAAATTATTCCTCTTTTTTGTCTTTCATGCACACTCTCTGAATCTCCCTTTATCTTTGTCAGAGTCCACTATCAATCTAGTCTACTATTACTCTGTAAGTAAAGCTTGTATATATCTTCTCTTTAAATTAAATAAAAGCTTTCGTTGAGTATTACTTATTATATCGACCATTTCCTCTCTTGGTATCAAAGTCAAGTAATGGTAGCTTAAATTTATTATGTTGATTTATATGCAGATTTGTTACTAATTCTTGTTTGCTCATGTAATCATAATTTATATCTGTTAGACTAATGTTATTTTGAATTTGTTATATTAATTCTGTTATAATAGTTTTCTTTTGTTTGTATGGTTCCGCACCCAAGTCGCGTGTGGGATGTTAGGCCGTGTCCGAGAGATAGGAGTGAGCTCGTTTGTGTTCCCCATAAATTGTTGATAGCAAGAGTAGGAAAGAGGAAGAAGATTACTATAACAGAATTATTATAGCAATAGTCACTATAGCTTTGTTGTAGCATAAATAAAAGACTAATTAGTGTAACAACATGGAGGTAATAGAAAAGTATATAGGTCAACAGAAGCTGTTTGAAAAACAATCATGACATTAATCCTATTTAAATTAAGTAATAAACATAAGAAGATTATGTTAAAAATATGGAAGAAATTGAATTCTTAGATATAGAAAATAAATTACAAAACTGGGATATACATCAATACCCAACTAAGAAGATATTTAATATTGAAACTTTTAATTTTAAATCAAACTTAACAATTAAAACATTGGAAATGATAATCTGATCAGAATGGGGATACCTTACAACTATTAACTGAAAGAGAAGTTTTAAAGGCTCAAGAAATTAAAAGTTCTTACCTCTTTCACTTTTATTTGATGATCCTTCTTTAAGAGGCTGTTTATCTACAACTTTAAGCT